GGAGGGGAGGGGAGGGGAAGAGAAGAGAAGAGAAGGGGAGGGGAAGCCTTCTTTCTCAACCTTAGTCATGGCAGTCTGGGATGCCTCTTTCTCCAGGAGAGCACAAACACAGTCCAGGTGCCCCTCACGAGCCGTGATGTGCAGCGGTGTGTGTCCAGCAGTTGTGGAGAGGTTAGCATCGGCGCCGCTCTCCAGGAGCAGCTTCACCATGGCGCAGTGCCCGAGGCGGCTGGCACAGTGCAAGGGCGTCTGATCATCCTGAAATAAGAAAGTCACGCATTTCTCATCCTAGCTTGTTGCGTGGCGCTGCCCAAATGGCCTACCTTCCCCACACTGCCCCAAAGAAGGCGGCGGGAGGCTCTCTTGTGCAAGGAAATTCCTAGGCTAGGACTGGGGTGGTTTTGATCCAGTGAGTTGCAGGAACACGGGAAAAAATTTACGTTGGGTCATTCAAGCCACTTCATTATTGCGGGATTTGCCAAACTTGGCAACTTTAAGGCTTGTGGATTTCATCTCCCAGAATTCCCCAGCCAGCGTGGCTGGCTGGGGAATTCTGGGAGATGAAATCCACAAGCCTTAAAGTTGCCAAGTTTGGAGACCCTGCTCAAGCCTATACACAAGAATTCTAGTCAACTAAAGCTCAACACTAAATTGGTGCCAGATAAGGGTCAACTGTTTGTGGCACTGTAACGACTCTAGGCAGATGACTCGTTTAACTCCACCCGCCAGCTCTACTGTTCGTCTCCTACATGCAGCCACTAAAGCCATTCATTCCCTGGTGTTGCAGGCACTGAATTATTGATCCCAAAGACAGACAGGGACCTACCTTAGCTGTGGCATTGACCTTGGCTTTGTTCTGGAGAAGATACTTTGCTACTTCGCTGTGCCCGGCCCGAGCAGCCATGTGGAGCGGTGTCTCTACTTTCTGCGCAAATAAAACAAGAAAGGATCATTCCAGAGAACATCCAGAGCTGAGAAAAATTCCCATCAGCCTCCCTCAGCATTCAAAGACGGAAAGACTCAGGTGTGGGGACTGTCTGCTTTTTTTGTTTTTAATGAATAATACTTTCGTCTCCAAAAGCTACACAAAGTCAGACTGGGAAGTCAAATAAACAATATGTGTTTCAAAAAACACATCTCGGGTATATTCAGAGATAGAGGATGAAAAAAAGACATTTAATGCATTTCTGCTCTAAAACAAATCTTGCTTAAACCCTCCTAATTTTTCTTGTGGTTTCGACCCTTCTGAAAATGTCTTTTAATTATAGAATAACAGAGTTGGAAGGGACCTTAGAGGTCTTCTAGTCCAACCCCCTGCTCAAATAGGAGGCCCTATAGCATTCTGGACAAATGGCTGTCCAATCTCTTCTTGAAAACCTCCAGCGATGGAGCGCACACAGCTTCCGAAGACAAGCTGTTCCGTTGATTCATTGTTTAATTAATTAGTTGATTAAATCAACATTTAAAATTAAACTTTCAAATTAATTCAGTTAATTATTTAGTTTAATTAATTTAATTGATTAAGTATAACATGGTTGCCATTACCGAAACTGGATGGGATGAAACCTATGCCTGGAATGTACAGCTTAGAACAATAAAACTTGTTCAAAAGAAACAGTTAAATCAGTTAAGTCAGTTAATCTTTACTCACCACATTGGAAACATTGGGAGATGCTCCCCGTTGGAGCAAGATCTTGACAATAGAAAGATTTCCCATGAAGGAGGCCACATGAAGAGGAGTGAGGCCCGACTATCGAGAGAAAACGAGGGAAAATAAATGAATTCGAATTCTGCATTTGTCTACCTCTCTTTCTCGACACTGGAGTTAGAAACTGTCATTTACTTGAGGTCAGCTCTACAGAAATCAGTAGGTTCCTGAACCCATGATGCTCCGTTACCTCCGTCACTGCGTCGATGGAGGCTCCCGTCTTCAGAAGAAGCTCCATCACCCTGATGTGATTCTTCTTACAGGCAATGTGCAGTGGAGTGAAGCCGTTCTGCAGACCCAGGGAAAGGAGACCAATCAGTAATGCACTGCAACAGGTATCTGCCTATTCCAGGGGTAGGCAACCTTGGCTCTTTTATGACTGGTGGACTTCAACTCCCAGAATTCCTGAGCCAGCATGGAAACCTCTCCCTTTCCCCTCAGCATGGCTGGCTCAGGAATTCTGGGAGTTGAAGTCCACCAGTCATAAAAGAGCCAAGGTTGCCTACCCCTGGCCTAGCCTCACCTTATTTCGGTGGCCTCTACTCACCAGGGCCCGTGCATTAGGCTTGGCTCCCTTCTCGAGCAGGATCTTGGCCACCCGGTGGTGGCCACAGTGGGCAGCCACATGCAGTGGGGTCAAGTGATCCAATGTGATGTCATCAATGTTGGCGTTATATTGCAACAGAAGCCGAACACAGTCCAAGTGGTCACCTTGGGAGGCCATGTGGATGGGGGAGAGGCCGTTCTGCAACAAAGGAGAGGAGGGTGAGATTGGGATGGACCTACAAGGGATGCTTAGGGAAGAGGCAGCCAGGTAGATGCTATTACCTGGAGAACTAGGGAGGAGCAGCGTTAGAGCATGCGAGAAGCAATGAAGTTTCCTGTGCAGATTGCAATTAAGACCTTTGCCCATATGCATTAACCACGGCATAAGCCTATTCCAGGGCTATAGGCAACCTTGGCTCTTTTATGACTCGTGGACTTCATCTCCCAGAACGAGCATCTCATTCCATAAGGCAGGCACCACAATAGACAAGGCCTACTTCCTGGGTTCTGAGAAACGACACCGCTTAATCAAAGCGATCCATGGAGTGTCAACTCTGCTGAGCAGAATGCCACCTGAGCAGAAGCTGTCGGAGCTATTTCCTCAAACAGCTAGGCCCCAGGTCACAAAGAGCTTCATATGTAGCAACCTAGAGGGACACGAAAAGGTGGCTCTCTTTTTTCTTACAGATCACAGGCCGCTGGGCAACCTTTTTTGTCTAGCAGTTATGAGCACAGCAGAACATATTATGCAACAGGGCTGAGCCCTTCCAAATATTTGAAACCGATCATTTGCTAGTAAACATTTTTCATTGCCTCTTGGATTCTTTGCTCCTGTTACGTCAAGAAATCATCATGGGTTTTAGGCAGAGGTGCTGGTAATTTGGGACTGTAGCAAAGATAAGTAAATTACATTTATATATATATATATATATATATATATATATATATATATATATATGTATGTATGTATGTATGTATGTATGTATGTATGTATGTATGTATGTATGTATGTATATATGTATATATGTATATATATATATATATATATATATATATATATATATATATATATATATATATATATATATATATATATATATATATATATATATATATATATATATATATATATATATATATATATATATATATATATATATATATATATATATATATATATATATATATTTCTCCGGGATCCTCACCTTGGTCTTTGCTTGGATGGGCGCTCCATGGTCCAGCAAGATTTCAGCAATTCGCAAATGTCCGTTGCGGGCGGCACAGTGCAATGGGGTTAGCTCATCCTGTAGAAAGGGTAGCACTTTAAAAGGTGTGGAGAGAGTAAAATATGTATTTTACAGGTCTTGTACCCTGCAATGCTGTTATGCACACCAACTGAGGGCTGTTGGAAGCACCTAGCCAATCTTGAGTGAATCCCAAAACGATGGGAATATACACATATTTCTTTAGCAACCCATCCTTGGATTTGGTGAGGAGCAAAAGGGTCTACAGAATCCAAGGCCTCCATCACCCTAACGAAAACAGTGTTGTGCTGTTGCAACACAAGATCTGCTGCTTTTGTCCCTGCAGGTAGCCTCACGATGCACATACAAGCAGCCTAACCTGTTCCTTCCTCCGCTGATCCTCTTGATCTCCCTGGCCAACGTCCCTGTGAAGGGACAGGCTGTGGTGTTTCTTTACCAACTTCTCTCTCTTCCATTCTCCTCCACACTGTCCGTCTGGTGGGCAGGACTTACCTTGGTGCGAACCTCAATGTGGGCTCCCCGGTCAAGCAGCAACCGCACCATTATGATGTTGCCGCGTCGAGAGGCGATGTGCAATGGGGTGATGCCGTTCTACGGGGGGGGGGGAGAGCAGAGAGAGGGGAAGAAATGAGACAAAATTTCTTCCCAGAAAACTGCAGTGCCCTGGGACCTGATACCCAGAGTACATTTTGGGTGGCGTGTTTGTTTTTTGGGCAACCCAACTGGTGCCTGAATGCCTGCAGAGGCTTTTGACTCTTAAATAAAACACTGAACTTGTCCCCTAAAATTAAACCCACTGTTTTCCATTTAGCAGCAAAACAGGCGCCTTACGCCTTCCCTGCTTGGCCAACGCCAAAATCTTCCAAAATTAACACAAGGTCTGAGAACTGTAGCCTCGCTCACTCAGATGTCTCATGCGCACTGCAGTCCTTTCTTACACACAAGGACTTGTTTGCTGATTACTTTTTTAAGTTTGGGGATTTATGTTACTTCAGAAGAGGGCTCCCCCTGGTATTCTATTCTGGGCTTGGGTTTTTCCCACCCCACATGGGGTAAGAGTCAAAGAATCTTTTACAACAGTGTTTCCCAACCTGCTGGGAAATCTTAGCCTAGTAGGAAGGGTCATGCATGGAGCTAGCCTGAAGTCTCTGTGTGACTGCAAAAAGACTGACACACTCTAAGTTCCTTGAAGCCTCTGCTAATTATTACCAAGGGTAGGTTGACAGACAGCGCAGATTCTTGTATTAGAGGCAGAACATAATAAAGTAGTTAGTTTGAACTCTGCATTCCCACCAATGCTGTGAGGACAAGCCACTGGACTATAAATTGAGAGCAATCTCCACTCCTTACTAGCACAGATGATGTTACCTAGTTTGGGTAATGAGATGTCTGCAAAAAAACAACAACAACCAAGCTCAGAGAGCACCAAGGATCCTGAACTATGAATATTCTCCTTTATCCCTAAAGTAGTTAGCTTGACCTCTGCACGTGTGGGTCTGGTTGTTCGTGCCTAACACATCCTTGGCAAGTTGAAGGTGAGTGGACTTCAAATCCCAGAATTCTCAGCGACGGCTCTGCTGGCTGTGGAATTCTGGGAGTTGAAATCCATATAGCAGGAAATTGCCAAGGTTGGGGAACTCGGTTCTACCGCATCGGCGTGGGCTCCGCACCTACCTGTGGGGTGAAATTGACACTTGCTCCACGATTGAGGAGAAGCTGGGCCACGTTGAGGTTCTCGTAATGCGCTGCGATGTGAAGGGGGGTGAAGCCAGTCTGTAGGAGAAGAATGGAGGGGGAGCAGTCAAATACTCCAGGCAGCCCACCCAGTAAGAAATACAGGGAGAATTTTCAAATTGCTCTTTTGACATTGGTCATCCATTCACTCCATGCTGAACCAGCTCAGCAGAGGGATTTTTGCTATTTTGGAGCATTATGTGCTTAAATGGTTTTCTTTTATTAGTGGCTATTTTACACAAGGGATCCATGTACGTTTCTGAGGCATCCTATAATGAAAATCCACTACAGGCAGTCCTTGACCTATGAGCACAATTTGTGTTGCTAAGTCAGGTGGTTGATCAGTGACCCACACTCAATTTTATGCTCTTTTTGCCATAGTCGCTAAGCACATCACTGCAGTTTTAAGTGCATCGCATGTCCTTAAGTAAATCAGGCTTCCCTCATTATCTTTGCTTGTCAGAAAGCAAAGCTGAGAAGGTGTAAAATGCCAAATCACGTAGGTCCCAGCACACTGCAACCGTTGTAAATACACGCGGATTGTCCAATGCCAGAATTTTGATCCCGTGACTACAGAAATGCTGCGATGGTTGTTAACGGCGAGGACCAGCTGTAAGTCCATTTTTTTCCAGTGCTATTGTAACTGCGAAGAGTCGCTAAATGAATGGTTGTTAAATGGAGGACTTCCTGTACATCAAATCTCACACTAAGAATCCTTTCTGTTGTGTCCACAGAGTAGGTCAACATGTGCAAGGTGAGGCATTATGATCCTCTGACACATGCAAGGGCCCACGTATAAAGGAGCAGAATTTGAAGCATAATGCTTCACCTGCCCTCTTGCAGAATTGAAAGCAGTGGTCCCCAACCTTTCTGGCTTTGTGGACCGGTGGGAGAGGGGGAGGAGGAAAGGCTTCCATGCGAGTGGCAGGGACTCGTGTGTGGGCGTGAAATTCCATTGGTGTGAGGCGGTGGGTGTGCCCACCGCTTGCACAAATGGAGCTTCACGCACATGCGCAAGTCCCCGCCATTTGCAAAAATGGAACTGCGGGCGCAACTGCCTCTCGTGCGGCCCGATTCCGAACGGGCCTCAGCCCAAAGGCCGGGGACATCTGTTTCAAAGTACCCACGAACACTTCCTTCCATCTGCAAGTTGCTCAACTCTACAGACTAAACAAACAAAATTGTAGTAAACCCTTGGTTTAACCTAACAGAAACAACAAACCCATTTTTCATTTGAATCACCTCTTCATTCAACAGGCTAATGGTTATTAAATCAAGGTTTCTGTCCATTAAAGGAAGATTTTACTGCAAATGGTGCCACTTACGTAAATTACATAATTAAGGGAATTATGTAAACTGACTCAAAAGAGGTACACTCAGATTTAACAGATCTCCTCTCCCTCAAGCGGTCCATTAAATTCAGATTTCACTATAAAGCACCAGACCTCCTTTTCATGTTCTCTTAAAACAGAGAGTATGCTACAGCATAATGTGACTGAATGTGCACAAAAACACACCACTGAGCCCAGATTCACAAATAATTGCTTTGCTTGCTTAACTGTCCACCCCAATAATCCATATCCTGATTTTATGTGATAAAATGTCGTGTTAGCTGTTCACACAACAGGCCAAGGCCAGAGGGTAGGTTCTCACAACTGAAGCTCAAATGATCCAATTGCATTTCAGCCTAACTTAACACACTCCCTTTGACACACTAACCTTAGCCTTTGATCATAGGTAACTTTCCTGCTTTATAGTCCAATTCAGCAGGTGAGCTAACTCTTGTGTAGAAGTTCACAATCCTTCCAGACAGCACAATGGGAATCCCCTTCTTGAGGTGGGATTAGGAATTAGAATCTTTATGATCATGATTTATCGCTTGTCGCTTGTATGTACACTGAGAGCTTCTGCACCGGAGACAAATTCTTTGTGTGTCCAATCACACTTAGCCAATAAACTATTCTATTCTGTTCTGTTCTATTCTATACTTCATCCTGTCCTGTCTTATCCTATTCTTTATCCTATCCTATCCTATCTTATCCTTAGCCTGTTCCATGTTAAGACTAATCAACTGATTGAATGTGATTTTTTTTTCCAAGTGGGTCCACTAAAGCCAGGATCCTCCCCTTACCCGCCTGACCCATGGATCTCCCCAGGCATGGCCAGCTGACCTTGGAAAGGACATCGGCATTGGGGTCGTTTTGCAGAAGCACGGCAGCTGTTCGCGTGTCATCGTTGCGGGCGGCTATATGTAACGCCGGAAGGCGCACCTTCCCCTTGGTCCCGTAGTTGATCAAGTGGGCCACCACATTTTCATGGCCCTGCTGCAGAGCTACCGCCAAGGGAGTAAAGCCGTCCTGCCAAAGATGGAAGAAAGGAAAACATAAACGTAAGAAGACAGGGAGGGATCTACCATTTCAAGAGGCTCTCCGATTCAACATCTCATCAGCATTCTAGCCATTGTCTCTCCACTGCAGGATGCAGGCCTCTTCTGCGTGTTTCCAACCCATACGGCCCTAAGCTTTCTTTTGCCAGTTGGTCCGCAATACTTGCTGGTGTCGTTGCTCCGTCTTGTTTTAAGTCTCTTTTATGGATGCTGTCATGTGTCTGATTAACGAAACACTTAAAAGGACTTTCAGGCATATTTTCTCCTAAAAGCATTTATTAAGGTTACAGAGACGTCAGTACAACATGGTGGAAATGCTTAGGTCTGCTTCTCTTCCGTTACGCATAACATTCCAAGCATTTCCCACTCCCTTATTGTAGGGTCATGGTTCACATCTTCCAATCAACTTGGAAGATGTGATTTACTTCGGGTTTCTTTCTCCCGGGCTATCCTTATGCTCCTCCCTCTTTCTCAGTTGCTGGTTTAACTATATAAATACCAGACAGTTCTGCATATTGTCAAAGCAAGAATATACAGTATTTGCAGCGTTGACAGATGCTTTTTTTCAAGTTTAGAACCCAGCTCTGTGCACAGTCTTGCCGTGTGATCTGTTATGGCCTCCAAGCAAACAGAGGCCCACCCTTGCTACAAACAGCTGTTTTATTTTTAGGTTCATCACCACATCCCTTTGAGATAAAGTAGGCACCTGACCCTGGGCTTGCCCGATTCCTTTCCCACATCTGAACTGGGGGAGTGTGAAACAGCAGAGAAATACTGGGTAGTGTTAGAACAAATTTCCCCGCTAATAATCCGCCTCTAGTAGCCATGAAGTAAACAACATATGGGAGAAAGGAGCCAGGAGTGAGTGGGCTTGAATTGTCTATATATATCGCACTCACACTTGAGAGCAAAGGCGTTCACGAGAATTCTATAAATGTGGCTGATCAGAATTCAGAAAGATTTGTTCTTTTCTCACCCTGATGACTCTGGGTGAATGCTTTGAGGAAGATACTCACCTCTGTGGCCACGTTTTGATTGGCACCATTTTCCAGTAAGAACTTGACCACTTCCAGGTGATTCTCTTGGGCGGCCATATACAGGGGTGTGAAGCCTTTCTGCAAACAGAGAATCAGCCAAGTGACCTCAAACGCCACACAAATAACACAACCGACACAGAAACACAGAAGGAGAAAATCGATGGGTTGCCTTGACGTGGGAGGAAGTTGTGGAGCAAGTTGTGGAGATCAAGACCTGGGCTCTCCAAACTTGCCAACTTTAAGTCTTGTGGACTTCAACTCCCAGAATTCCCCAGCCAGCGTAGCTGGAGGTCATCTCAAACCTTGATTCCAAGTCACATTTTGTTGTGATCTATAAAAACTGAAGCACTGTTAGGACAGCAAAACTGGTATCGATGGATTCTGCTGAACTTGATGAGATTACAATTCGGGGTAACATTTTTTTAAAAAAAGGAAAACTTGACTGCACCACCGGATAATCAGGGTTTATTAGTGCTCGTTTCAAGATTGCAGCTGAGTGCACTAGATAGATAACAACAACAACAACAACAACAACAACAACAATAATAATAATAATAATAATAATAATAATAATAATAATAATAATAAAGTTGGAAGGGACCTTGAAGGTCTTCTAGTCCAACCCCCTACTCAGGCAGGAAACCCTATATCATTTCGGACAAATGGCTGTCCAGTCTCTTCTTAAAAACTTCCAGTGTTGGAGGAGCATTCACCGCTTCTGGAGGCAGGTTGTTCCACTGGTCAATTGTTCTAATTGTCAGGAAGTTTCTCCTTAGTTCTAGGTTGCTTCTCTCCTTGCTTAGTTTCCCTCCGTTGCTTCTTGTCCTGCCTTCAGGCGCTTTGGAGAATAGCTTGACTCCCTCTTCTTTGGGGCAGCCCCTGAGATATTGGAACGTTGCTATCATGTCCCCCCTCGTCCTTCTCTTTGTTAAACTAGACATACCCAGGTCAAATGCTTCAATGTCTCAGATCACCCACAGCAAAAAGGGAAGGAGATGATATTGAGAACAATTAATCAATAAAACAGTCCTATGATTCTACGACAAGGGGCCGGAATAGGACTTTGTGGAACATTTTGGTAGGTTTGTTTAGCTTTCTCTTAAAACGGTTTGTCACTGCAGAAAATTTAAACAGGGCTTCTGGTAAAACCTCCCGTAAATTTCAACCTCATCTCTGATCCTGCAGAGTGCCAAGAGGAAAGAAATCGAAGGAAGGAACTCCAGCAGCTCTAAATGCAAAGCAAAAAAAAAAAAAAACCAGGAAAAAAAACCAGAGTTTCTGAGCAGATGATGAAATCAAGTGCCTGGAATCACTGGCTGTTTACTCGTCTGCTTAGCAAAAAAATATATATCGCCAGCTTATGCAGAGGCGGTGCTTGTGTGTGTGTGTCTCTCTGTGTGTGTGTGTGTGTGTGTGTGTGTGTGTGTGTTTTAAGAGCTGGAAATCAAATGGGGAGTTTCTTGCTTTTTGCAGCCAAATGCAAGTCCTCTTGCTCTCTCCTCTTGGGACAATGACTCACAAGTGTGACTCGCAACTGGGATTGAAAAGATTGCTTTGGGGGAGGGGGGGAGGGGGGAGAAGGATATTTGCTTGCTGATCTCAGCCAGAATGACAGACATCCAATTACATCTCAAGAGAGAGAGAGCCTGTTTCTGGCACCCCCTGAGCCTGTTGTTCTGCATTTGTTCCACCAGCTCTCTCTCTCGCAGCCTCGCAACCTTATTTCCTGCCCTTCTCCCCAATATTTATCTGACCTTCTGCATATCTGCTTATGTAACCCAAAAATGCAGGAGCCCCCAGAGGGTGACGCTGAGACTAGCCTGCCTGGGAACCGGCAGGGGGCGCTTGTGCACGTTTTCCATCCCGCTGCTGGTCCGACAGCCTGGCGGGGCTGATCTTCTCTCTGTCCATCTCTAAGAGACACCCGGAAAGCTTTTGACTGTTGTCTCAGCTCTTCTGGTTGGCTGGGTGGCAGAAAGCAAGCGAGGCTGGCAAGGTTGGCTGAGAACAGCTGGTGTTCCTCCTCAAAAGCATCAGCGGGATGCGAGGAGGACGCTGGACAGAGGCCGTGCAAGGCTTTGGATCAAGTGACAATATAGACTCCAAGCGAAAGAGCGGGAGGGGAAAGGAAAGTGGAAAAGTAAGCCTAGTCAGAGATTTATGTCAGCGTGCAAGCCATCAGTCCTTTCAGCCCATGGAATGTATTATTATAGGTAGTCCCCATGCTGGCTGGGGAATTCTGGGAGTTGAAGTCCCTCCCCCATATTAAAGTCGCCAAGATTGAGAAAAACTGCACTATAGCACAAGAGAAGCAACCTAGATGCCTATGGAAACATTTATGAACTACCACTCCCAAAGTCCCTTGCTCTTGGCTCTGACGGGAGGCTGATGGGAACTGAAGTCCAAAGCTCTACAGGGGAGCAGATGACTTATTTCTGCTGTATGAGGGCTGCTAAAAACTTTGGGAGCATTTCCCTGTGTTCAGAAGAGGCTGCCGTATGTGGGAGAAGGGGAAAAATGATTCAAAGCATTGAGACATACTACTCCAGCTTAATTAATTGAATATAGCGTTAATTGGACTTAAATGTAAGTGGAAATGGAATCAAATCTAATTTCATTAGTGTCTCGGCACTTTGCTCTCTCCCCACCTGTTTAGAACCCAGCTCTGTGCACAAAGGAGGTTTTTAAAAAGGAGTTAAATAGAATAACTGGAAGTGTCTGTGCAGGTTCTCAGCCATCCTGGTCACAGCTGCTTCAAAGGTGCACCAACGGGGCCGTGATTGCGCACGTGACACAAACAGGGCCACGAGCACCTGTGCAATGCTCGGGCGATGCTAGCGCCCACGCGCTAGCACGTGTGGGGATGTTGTGCTTGCAGCAACGATAGCGCTGGCACGACGCCACAACACTAGCGCGAATGGGGGGGCAAATGCACACACACGCATGCATTGGCCAGCCATTCACATGGCCCAGTGGCCAACAGCCCAGTAGTGGGCCACGGACCACAGTTGGTGACCCTTGTCTTAGGAGGCTCACCTGGCCGCGTCTGCTTGTCGGGGATTCTTACCTGTGATTGTGCATTGACATTTGCCCCAAAGTTCACCAGCTCCCGTACAACATCTTCTTGTCCTGCCAAAGCAGCAATGTGTAAAGCTGTGTTCCCTTTCTGAAAAAGCCAGATGGAAGATAAAAATTATAACCAACCTGGAAAAGAACCTCTTTAAAAAATAAAAAAGCCAAAAAAGAGCAACAAATCTGATGAATCAAGAACAGCAACTGTAATTTTGTATTGAAAAAATTCGTTCTTACAACTCTTGTGTTTTGCTTAGATTGGCACGTTGGATGAACCCAACTCTTGAACGTATCTACAATTCTGAGCAAACATATCGTAGTTTCATTGACATCACTTTCTTCAAAGAGTTTTGGACATTTTTTAGAGAAGCTGCTGGCCAAGACCCATAGCCAGCCTGGCCACTCCAAGACGATTGATTCATTGATTGATTCATTGATTGATTGATTCTTTCATTCATTTTCTACAACCTCCCATCTCAATCCTATTGAGTCTGGGCAGTGAACAATATCACAGTACCACGCAGTAACTGCAGTTCTGCAAACTTTGAGAAATCGTGCGAAGCACAGACTAAAATATATTTATTAAAAGCCAATAGTATAGTAAATAAATAGTTCTTGCCCAGCTATAATCATAATTAAATCACTACTTTCCTTCATGGTGAGAAGGTCATGCAAATTTGTTGGAAAATGTTCAAAGATTAAGGCATTCTGTTTTCTTCCCAGGGTGACGAATGAGGGGACTTTATTGCCCAGAATTCCCCTGCCTGCAAGACCACTGAGGAGAATTCTGGGAACTTGGTCGGGGGCAAACTCCTTCGATTGAAATATTTTAATGAATCAAGCCAAACATATCTTTGTCCTTATTTCTCTGGGACCCCTTACCTTGGTTGTTGTTTCCAGCACAATTTCCTTGTGTAACAGCTCAGCCACCATCTTTACATGCCCCTCCTTAGAGGCCAGATGTAAAGCATTCAACCCATTCTGGAAAAAGAAGGAAGGGGTGTTAAAACTAAGTTTGTTGTGTTAGCTCACTGTGCTATGCAACAGATTCAGCCAGGGCAGGGAAACAGGTTGGGGTGTGTGTGGAGGAAAACTAATTTTAAAAAAAAAACACAGTGGTTGCATTCACACAGCACGCTGGACTTAAGTTATTGGATTAAACTCACTTCTGAAATCATGCAATACACTCAACCATAAACTAACTAAACAGGCTGGGTTTGCACAAAACACTTATGTTGTATTGCAACACAAACTGACACACACACAAAGCCAAGGTTAAAACTAAGCTTAGCTTACTGTACGCATGCAGCTGCTAAGTCTGGGTAAACCTGTTGTGCAAACACAGCCTGTGTGTGAGACAAGAAAGAGAGAGAGAGAGAGAAAGGCCACGTTCACACAACCTGCTAAATCGGGGCAATGTTTTAACTCGAATGTAACTGTTTGGGAGAAGTAGCATGTTTGCCAACCCAAGTTCTTTTATTGTTTTGTTCCGTCTGTTGGGCAAATCCAAGACGTGGGTCACTTCCATCAAATTATGCTCTCTGCACAAATGCAGCCACGGAGCAGGAAGGAGAGGGAGAGATGGTTTTAAATTCTTACTATATTCCTGCAATGCATATGAATGTCCAGCGGTCGCAAATGTTGCAAGAATTGAATGTTTGAATTTTTCAACAATGGTAACTGCAAAAGGGGCTGTGTCTCAAAAAAATTCGGATGCTGGTCACATGAGACTGAAGCCCTGGTCCATTTTTACGCGCTTTGGGTCATACCTGGAATGTGCTGGAATGTGCTGGAATTTCTAGCATGTATAAATTATTGAAACAGCGACCTCTACGCTGGCTTGGGCAAGTCGTGAGAATGGCTGACGGTCAAATTCCGAAAGATCTCCTGTACGGAGAACTAGTGCAGGGAAAGCGCCCCAGAGGGAGACTTGAGCTGCGATGTAAGGATATCTGCAAGAGAGATCTGAAGGCCTTGGGAATGGACATTAACAGCTGGGAATCCTTGACCTCTGATCGTTCAGCCTGGAGGCTAAAGACGCAGCATGGCCTTCTCCAATACGAAGAGACACTTGTGCGGCAGGCTGAGGCAAAGAGGCAGTCCCGGAACCAGCAAAATCTGGAGGCCGGACAGGGGACAGATTGTATCTGCCCTCAGTGTGGAAGGGACTGCCACTCTCGAATTGGCCTTTTTAGCCACACCAGATGTTGTTTTAGGACCTCTTTCCAGAGCACGATACCATAGTCTCTTGAGACGAAGGATGCCAATGATGATGGGTCATACCATACACATGCACTAGACATTCACAGACCTACACAGAGAAGAATCACAACCACCTTCCCACCCAAACCTGCACACTTTAGCTTCTCATCATGCCAAAGAAGTTGTCAACCGTAACACTTAATCCTGTTCAAATGACTTAGGCCAACCCAACCTTCTTCTGGTAACTTCTGCTAAGTCTGACTCTCCCTGTAATTGTTTTCCCAAGCTGATGTCTTTTGGAAGAGTGGGGACACATATCTAGGCAGCACCTGCTTGGGGAAGGCAGTTCTCTCGCCCAGGGATCCCCAAAGTTGGCCCCTTTAAGACTTATGGACTTCAACTCCCAGAATTCCCCAGCCAGCAAGGGGTCCACAAGTCTTAAAGGGGCCAAGTTGGCTGTATCCCAACATCCATCTTGATAAAGTCCCCCACCTTCAAAGGTTGATATCTTTCATCTGCCCTGTTCTTCCCCCATTTCTGAAGACGGCCAGATATATTTTTTTTCAATTCAGTGTGCTAGTTGGTTCTAATACCAGAGGCCCATAATTGTATATTTTAGATCTTGACTCTGTTGAAATTGTATCCTCATGGTAGACTTATCTAATCCGGTGTTACATACAAGTGTTGTAGAAATCAAGGCTCTTGCTGCACTTAAGTCTAATGTGCTGGATGATGCCAGCCAGTCTGCCACCCTCGCTTTTACAAATACACATGCAGAGATTCCCATTTCCATTTTGTTATGCAGAAAAGTCCTTTGGCAATCCACGTTTTCATTTTTTCCGTATCTGTCGAACATCTAAAGACAGATGAGTGATGCCCGATGCTGGTTTCTCTGGCAGTGATGAGGATGGAATCAAGATCGGTGCAGATGGCAATGATGATCAGATGGCAGGGTGGAGGCCACTGGCCTTGTGGTCTAGGTCTGACCACATGCATCCCACTTTCATTGCATACAGGACACATGAGGTTGGACCTTGACCACAAGTGTGACATGCCCCAGGGTAGACAAGACAAAGGTGCAATCGAACTATGGGACAACGATGGGAAGAACTGACCATGCAAAAGGCGCTAGGTCTTCACAAAACACGCTTGAGAATTTCCCAGGACTGGTGAGCAGTCAATCCTGTACCGCATTGAATACATTATGCTTCTACGCATACAGTCTTCCTACTATTTCCATCCTGGTTGATCCCACGACACTCTCCAGACTAATCAGCTGAGCTGATTTACTTCCAGGTTAGCTGCGGGGCATCTCAAGCCACAATGATTACCCCTTTGAGATGCTAGACCTCTGGAAAACTTGGGGCAGGCTGATTGGTCACTGGCAGGACCTCTCTTTCCATCCCACCTCCCAGCTTCTTACGCCTCTCAAGAGATCCAGCCACGATTACAGTTTGCAACTTACTAGCACATGAATTTTCAGTACTGCAGAGGAATGGTGGCTTAGCAGCACTGCATCTTCCCTCCACGGCAACTGCTTTGATTTTTTTTTCTGTCCCAGAACTCAACACAGAAATGCACACAATGTGAAATTAAGAAATGAATGGACAGCAGACAAATGAATGGGGGTAGAAGGTTACATTCTTTGACAGGTCAGCTGGAGGAACGACTCAGAGTAAGCTGGGTTTTCTTTGCATTTAAGGCCTGCATCGATGCATCAAATTAAAAATTGGCTTTGGATTGCTTCTGAGAAATTAGAAAGTGAAAAAGGTGGCGGAATGCAAGTATTTTAAACCTAAACTTCCACTCTTGGCCTAGAGCCAGTGTCTTTTCTCCTCGTTTCAACAAGCACAGATGTTTACATTTTTTGCACAAATCCCTGGAACCCCTTTTTCCAAAGCAAAATGTCCACAGCAATTATTCCTCCTTCCCCTCTTTTCTCCTTCCAGATGTGCCTCCTGAGTTTTTGCTTTTTGCTTTTCTCCATTCAGACAGCTTACAGCAGATAGGATGGCAGTGCTGCCAACACCTCACCCTCTTTTTTCCCCCTCCCTATTCCAATGTGTAATGAGAGGTCATGATTGCTTTGAATGACGGTTCATCTCTGATCCCTGCTAGAGAAGGAAATCCATCCAGGAGGTATTGCAAGAACCATTCCCACAAGGCCTCCCTTCCTCCCTTCCTCCCTCCCTCGCTCGCTTGCTGGACCCATCTGAAAGCAAAGTTCTCTGCTTCTGCTTTACTTTAATGAGACGCCTTTCCAATTATGTATAAACGGCAGCTGCCTCCAGCCCAAAGCTTGCATGCAAGCTGGAGAGAGAAAGAAAGAGGCTCTTTCCACACCACACCCTCTGCAGATAAACAGGCCCAAACCACAATCGTTCATGCCTCAAAACAACTGGGAGGTTAGATCAATTCCTCGAAGAGAAAATGTCACAAAACTGAGAAGGTCTGCTTGGAGCAGGGGTGGGCAACTATGGTGACTTTATGACCTTTTAGTCCAAACCCTTGCTCAGACAGGAGACCCTATACCATTCCTGATAAACAGTTGTCCAATCTCTTCTTAAAAACTTCCACTGTTGGAGCATTCACCACTTCTGGAGGCAGGTTGTTCCATTGGTTAATTGTTCTATCAGGAAGTTTCTCCTTAGTTCTAGGTTGCTTCTCTCTTTGGTTAGTTTCCATCCATTGCTTCAGGTTGTCCTGCCTTCAGGTGCTTTGGGGAATAAGTTAACCCCCTCTTCTTTGTGACAGCCTCTCAAGTATTGGAAGACTGCTTCATGTCAGCCCTAGTCCTTCTCTTCACTTGAGTAGACATAGCTAGTTCTCTCAATCACTCATTATATGCTTTAGCCTCCAGATCCTTTGATATGTCAGTCCATGTCAGAAAACATCCTTAAGCCCTACTGCAGCGTGTAGACATCAGTCCTTGCCTTTATCTATTCTGCTTCTCCTGTGCAACTGGGAGCAGGGTATGTCCAAGATACACAGAGAACTTCTGAGCCTCCGGTTAAGGTGTAATATGTAGGGATGCTGTTTGGGTTGTCTATCTGGTCATTGGCCAGTTATCTCCATAGGAAGATTTGTGGACTTGGGCCTTTCCTCAAATCTTCTTGGCACAATCGTTGTAGTGCTTAGAAGCATCTTCTGCTCTCTGAAAGCAAGGCAGTCAGGAACAGCTCAAAGTAGGCACTGCAATAACCAGGACAGACCAAGGTCCTCAAGTAAAGGTCAAGGGGAAGGGCATAATTGGCTGTCTACAGACTGAGAAGATTAATTACACATCAGAGGTGTGAAATGCTTGCTTGTCTCTCTCTCCCACAATCAGCACGGGAGCAGTGCAGTCTCCAAGGATTTGGGGAATGGGATCTTAAGTCATGCTGCCATTCACACAACATGTTTATTTGGGTCAATTAAAGATCCAGCATTTGCATTTGTGCAACGTCCTAAACTGGGTCAGAAAGAACTTCCACTTGTTTTTTTGTTGCTTACTATAATATAGGAGCCCAACTTCTTTGGTTAGTTTATGGTTCACTGTATTGTGTAAATCCAGAACATGGCTTAATTCAGGATCCAGGTTTGTGCACATGCAGCCAGAGAATGGTAATGGCAATGTTACATATGCTGGATGCTACCCAATATATCCTTTCAGATGGGTGGACATTAATTCCCAGAATTCTCCAGCCATAGAAATTAAAGTCCACACATCTGAAACCTGCCAAGGTTGAGAAACATTGGCACAGAGTAACCTGAAGGATCTTTTTGGTCCACTGAGGGTTGAAAACAGATCAAAATGTAGCAAGCCCATTGATTCTACTCTTGTATTACCAATTCTCCCCAAGACACAGGTGGTCTGGGAAGCCTCCTGTGGAAGAAAACCTGAACCGGTGGGCTGTTCTTGTCCACCTGTCTTGTCTGCTGCAGCTACTTCTCATCCCAAGTCGCCTGTTTTCAGCTCAGAAAGATGGGGTGAACAGGAAGGAATAAAAGGCAGTTGCTTTGGCTGGCCACCCACTCCTTGGTGACTCCGACATTGCATACTCTGAATTGGGATGAGCAAGGTGAGTCACTGTCTGATGGCAAAGGCATTCCCCACCTCCAGCCTCACTTATGAGCAGCACCAGCCCTGAATACAAAAGGAGATCGACAAGGACACGGGCTCTGCCCTTATTCTATGTTCTTCTCCAAAGTGGAGCTCTGATTTCTCCATTTCTCTGCAGTTTTTTCAGCAACACTTAGTCGAATGATAAAAATCCTTGTCCCATTGAGGTGGAGATGATGGAGCTCAGATTAAAGGCTTTCAAAGGGGCAAGACCAATTCATGGAGGCCACCTTCTCAAGAAGGTGATCGGGGAACTTGAAAGAATTCAGCAAAAGGGCAGCCTAAACGATTAAGGATTGCAGCTAAAACATATGAAGAATGGTTGCAGGAATGTCTGGTTTAATGAAGAGAAAGACGAGGGGGGACATGATAGCAGTCTTCCAATATCTCAGGGGCTGCCCCAAAGAAGAGGGAGTCAAGCTCTTCTCCAAAGCGCCAGAAGGCAGGACAAGAAGCAATAGATGGAAACTAATCAAGGAGAGAACCAACCTAGAACTAAGGAGAAATTTCCACACAGTTAGAATAATTAACCAGTGAAACAATTTGCCTTCAGAAGTTGTGGGTGCTCCAACACTGGATGCTTTTAAGAAGAGATTAGACAACATTTGTCTGAAATGGTATAGGTTTCCTGCCTGAACAAGGGGTTGGGCTAGAAGACCTCCAAGGTCCCTTCCAACTCTGTCATTCTATTACTCTGCAGCTTTGGGGGGAATGTATGAAGTCATGTATGGTTTAAAACAAAATTAGGTTAAATAAATGCCCTGAAATGTAATGAAGGGAGGTTTAAGGAATTACATCTTTGCCCACCATAAACAACAGGGTGGGAAGGTCACCAATCTAAAAAGAGGACTGAACAAATTCACAGAAGATTTATCAACAGTCACAAATCTTGATGGATATTTATTATCTCTTAAATTACAACCAGGATATTTTAAAATTTCAGCTGCTGGAGAAGGATAATGGAAAGAAGTTAACACTCTTTAGTTCAGAATGCAGAACAAAAATGGCTTGTTCCAGCCGATTTTTTCTAATTTTGGAAGGATAGAGAGAAAAGGTCCATCTAAAACATTTTTTAAAAATCCAATATTTAGGCCCAGCCAGTCACGACAATTAAGTTAGGGACAAAACTCATGGAGAAAATCTATCAATGTGGTCACTAGGAGTTGTCACCAGCTTGGTGGCACTTAATCAATCACTAACAATAGTCCCTTTTCTGGTAGAAATCTTTCTGCCACTGGGAAATGCTATTGTTTATACTGAAGTCAGCTAAGTAGAATTGGATCTGGTTAGGCATTTGAGACTTCCAGGAAATTCCACGACAATCCATCTTGGAAAAAAGCACTGGCAAGTCACGACTGTGTTGTTGCTAATCAACTTGACGGCATCTTTTATCTTTTTATTAATGATGTTCAACACAAGCCCAGTGAGGGGCTATAACCCGAGGGCCACACAGAGCCAATGTTAGACATGGAAAGGCCCTAAACTTTGGAAGGCTGTCGAAGCTCTATTTAGCATGTGCTAAGAGAGAAAAACAAAAGCTGTGTAACAAATGTACTTGGCAACGATGCTGCCAAACTGCACGATCAGCTCAAGACGAACAGGGAAAGGTCCCCTTTGAACAGAAGGTGCCAACACACACACACACATCTTAATGAATGAGGCTCATGTAAAGCCTTAATTTTCATGGTGACAATAGAAATTAACACCGAAGGAGCAGGACTGGAAGAGGATTGAGGCCTTTGAACTTTGGGGATAGCAGTGTTCCAATATCTGAGGGGCTGCCACAAAGAAGAGGGGCTCAACCTATTCTCCAAAACACCTGAAGGCGGGACAAAAAACAATGGATGGGAAGTAAACAAGGAAAGAAGCAACCTAGAACTAAGGAGAAACTTCCCAACTTCAGCATCCTGGCTGAAGAAGACCTGCTAGAGGAGACCAAACCAATTTTGAGTTCCACGAAGGACCAAATGCAGATCTCCACTACGCGGCCCAGACAAGACCAGTGGCAAGTGAACCGAAGACCTACCTGGTTGCAGGTATTAATATCCACACCGTTCCTTAGATGGTCTAGAGCTTTGTCCAGATTCCCTGATCGTGCTGCTCGGAGGAAGCTGGTTGCAGCATCAGCCTGGGAGAGCAAGGGAAAGAAGTGATTAGCTGATTAAATAAGCAGGACCCATTTCTTCCTGAGACTTCTTTAAGCTGAAGCTCAATTATCTCATGCCAAGCTCCAACTGCAGGTTTACTTAACTGATTGCTCCTCGGTCCGTGTGTGTGTGTGTGTGTGTGTGTTTTAAATGGAACACCCTTGCATGTAAAAAACGAGCCCATCGGGGCACGGTTACAATTTGCTCTTCCTTTGGAAACAAGTGGACCATCCATGATTTTTACCCTGATATGGGCTGCTATTTTTAGCAAGGCCTTGTGTTACTCATCAGCTGCAGCACCACCTAAGCACATCTGGTGTCTCCCTCCAGCCCATTTCTTACATCTTGGCGAGTCCTAATGTGGCTGATGGGTGGGTTTTGGCTTATGTGCTAATGGCCCCAGCTGTGGTGAGTGCCAAGATGTAAGATCATAGCCTTGGAGATAATGCAGTCCTCTAGCTAGCATCCCATCCTCTTTTCAAGTGGGTGGGGCTAAACATTTGGATATCTCTTCCCTCTCTGGAGCATTTAGGGATAAAACCTGTGTTTTAAGCTTTGCTCATACTAAACCCAAGTGCCTCAAGCCTGGCGCGGACCTCAGGATGATGGCCATTGAGTACCTCACTTTGGTGTGCTTATTCAATAAACCACAGTTAAACACAGCATTATCTAGGTCAGGTTCTCTGAAGGACCATTCCTGTTACATCTCCCTGACCCACCAGAGCGGAGAGGTAGGGAATGTTGCGGGTCCCTCTCCCAAGGAGATGTATATGGTAGGGTCTTCTCTGTGGTGGCTCCCTCCCTTTGGAACTTCATCCCTGCAGAGTTTAGCTTGCCTCCCCCCCAACTTTGACTCTCTTTCCCAAGGATCTGAAGACCTGCCTTTGCCAACAGGCCTGGGGAATCCAGAATGGGATGGAGACCATCAAGTGGCTCAGGAGTGGGGGTGGGGATATGGTTTTTACTGGTTGTTTATTGGGTTTTTATTTTTTGAAAGCCACTCTGAGTCACTAAGAGTGAGTGGGTGGCCCTATAAATTTTCATAAGTAAGTAAATAAACAAAGCTAGACTGCCAATCAACCAAGTCACAGTCTGACAACATTTCAAAGCTTTTTATCAAACTTTTAAAAATCCTTTCAAAGCTGGTTAAAATGCAGCCGGCACTTCTCAAAAAAGCAGAAAACCCCGTAACGTCAATTCTGAACACTCTGAAATCAATATTGCTACAGGGCCTAGTTTGAATGTTTGCAGCTTCCTCCCGTGTTCCTTTCGTGCATCTGGCCAGATGGGCTTCAACGGAAACCCAGCCCTGCTTAGAAGAGGTTCATCATCCTTTCCATTCAGCTTTTCCCGCGTTTCATCACATCTTCCCGAAGCTTGTCCGGCAATCTTAAACTTGCCAAGTCATTTTTTGACCAGGAAGCTCATCCTAATCAATGTACTGTATTGCGGAACATCCGATGTTCGGATTTGACACCTCAAGATCGTTATTTACTCAGGCTGAGCAAGAATAACCGCAGACTCCAGTCTTCAATCTGTGCTTCCCCAGAGGAACCCCACAAGTCAGACCTGCCTCCATTAGGCAACTCAGCTGCCGACTCGGAAAGGGGGAAGCAAAATGCAAGCAGTCCTCGACTTACGACCGCGACCGAGCCTAAAATTTATGTCGCTAAGCAAGACATTTTGTTCAGTGAGTTTTGCCCCATTTTACGACTCTTCTTGCCACTGTTGTTAAGTGAAACACTGCAGTGGTGAAATTAGTAACATGGTTTTTAACTGAATCTCATTTCCCCCTTTTGCTCGTCAAGTGGTCGCAAAAGGCGAACACATGACCCCGGGATAATGCAACCGTCGTAAATAGGAGACCATGGAGATGCTGCAATGTTCAGCCAAAAGCCACTTTTTTTAGTGCCACATGTAGACCAGTTCTGGTCACCACCATACGAAAAAGATGCTGAGACTCTTGTAAAAGTCCAGAGAAGAGCAACAAAGATGATTAGAGGATTGGAGGTTAAAATATATGATGAATGATTGCAAGGACTGCGTATGTATAGACCAGGGATAGGCAACCTTGGCTCTTTTATGTCACGTGGACTTCAACTCCCGGAATTCCTGAGCCAGCCATGCTGAGGGGAAAGGGAGAGGTTTCCAAGCTGAGCCATGCTGGCTCAGGAATTCTGGGAGTTGAAGTCCACGAGTCATAAAAGAGCCAAGGTTGCCTACCCCTGGTATAGACTAACGAAAGAGAAGGATGAGTGATGCCATGATAGCAGTCTTCCAATATTTGAGGGGTTATCGCGGAGAAGGGGGGGTCAACCTCTTCTCCCAAGCACCTGAGGGCAGGACAAGAAGTAACAGGTGGAAGAAAGATCATTAAAGAAAGATCCAACCTAGAATTAAAGAGAAATTTCCCTGACAGTGAGAACAATTAAACAATGGAATGGAGTTGTGGGTGCTCCATCGCTGGAGATTTAGAAGAAGAGACTGGACAGCCATTTGTCTGGAATAGTAGAGGGTCTCCTGCTTGAGCCAGGGGTTGGATTAGATGGCCTCCAGGGTCCTTTCCAACCCTCCCACTCTGCAGCTTCTCATGGAGTTCGACTGTAATCCCCATCATCTTAGGAAGTTTTAAGGACTGATAAAGGAATGAAATTCAGTGCATCTGTGGAGCCTTAGGAGCTTGCAAAAACGTTTGAACAGAAAGAAGAGTGGGCTTCAATAATGCGCTGTCTAAGAACACGGAGCAATGACTCTTTCTTAAATTGTTTTGAATTATTCTCAAAAATGAGAGCTGCCAGTTTCAAGAACGTACTTGGTAGCCAAAGCAGCTGGCATTGACTTAGCCCTGAAAGCCAGCATGGCTGAATCCCTCTGCTGTTCAGCCCAAGATAAACAGACTGGATCTGACCCCTTGAACAAGGCATCAGAAATAGAAACTCGCCTCTTCTTTTAACTTTTCTAAAAAAAAATAAAATAAAATAAAAATGGAGCAGCTAGCTCTTCCAAAGTGGAGATAACCAAGATTCCACCACTATATTTACCCACAAACTTCCTGTGTCAAATCCAGTCGGAAGGCCTCCAGGAGAAGAGAAAGAAAGAATAGACGGATAAAAAAAAAAGCTGGCACTAAACTTAGGAGAGAGATTTGTGAATGGGCAGTGACCTCACACAACCTCAAAACTGTTGGGAACAACTTTCCTAAACTGCTGCTAAGTCAACTTTAGGAAAGGGTCAGACTCATTGGCTGGCCATCCACCTTACATTCCTAAACTACCGTTCCTTTCACTTCCGGGGAAGTCTGAGAAATTCTCAATGGGTCCCTTCTCATGAGTGTAGATTTGGGACAGGGTTGGGCAACGCTTCTCTTGGTATTGAACTGCATCCCAGCAAGCTTTGAAGGACTGAGACTTTAAATCCGCAGTTTTCTCAACTTTTGCTCATAATCTGATGTCCGGATAATCCTCAGGTTACAGCATGTAACCTTGTTTAGTGACTGTTTAAAGTTACAATGGCACTGAAAACAGTGACTTAGGAGTGTGTGTCACTCTTATGACCACTGCAGCCTCCCTATGGTCACGTGATCAAAATTTGGGAGCTTGGCAACTGGCGTGTACTTAGGACGGTTGCGGTGTCCCAGTGTCATGCAATCTCCTTTTGCGATCTTCTGACGAGCAAAGTCAATGAAGAATCCAGATTCACTAAACAATTGTGTTGCTAACCTAAGAACTGGAGTGATTCACTTAACAATTGTGGCAAGAAAGACTGTAAAATGGGCCAACATTCACTTCGCAGCTGCCTTGCTTAGCAACGGAAATTTTGGGCTCAGTTGAGGCTGCAAGTCAAGGACTGTCTGTAGTCAGAGGTTGTTGTTGTTTTTTAATTCCATGCAAACCATCAGCCTGCAACTGACCCCTGTCTGTCAGAGAAACCTGTCCAGATAGACAACACACATTCCAATGTCCAGCAACAAGCAGGGCATCGATAGCAGCCTTGCTCTCAGCTACGAAACAGTCCCCATCATCCCCGGCTGCTGAGTCATTGATCCATGTGCTTGGAAAAACGCCAGTCTTGGAAGCCTGCAACAGCTGAGGTTGTTCAATAGGTTTGGGGGGATTCTTAGATCCTGCCAGATTTTGCTGGTTTTGCTACAACGGCTTGATAGGTTAGACAGTTTCAAAGTACATTCCCAAATTGTTGTTACAATCTTTGTCTGTATTAACACTGGGGGCCTAATTATAAGCATTGTAATAATAGCACGTCCAATTATAATTTAACACTCTTAAGCCGGCCAAGAAGAGACTTAAAAAAATATAAACAAAGGGATTCCAGGCTGCTTGGTCCTTCTTCTAAGCTTTTTGCCTCCGGAATGATAACACAGGAATTTATCCTTCCGTGCCAGGCTGGCTGAGGATTTGGGAAGCGGCAGCTTCAGTTTCCTGATTCGGGCACCAGGTTGAAGATGGTTGGACTGGTTCAATCAGATTGGCTTTCTCACGCGGGCTGCAAAACCATCTCTGACGATCCTTGCACGCAAACAGCTGCAGTTGCTCCTAGATCTTGAAGATGAGGTCTGGTTTTCTACTCAGCTCCTATTTCGCTTTCTTTTCTGAGATACTTAAAGAGGCTCTCGGAAAGATGGTTTGCTAATGTACCCGCCCTTTCATTAGGGAGGACGGCCACTTAACGTCCCAACCTCAGAGCGGTGTTCTTAGCTAGCAAAGGGCACCAGGTTGAAAAGTGGGAGCTTTTCCTCCATAAAAACATCCCAGCTTCTCTTGTGAGTCCATTAATTCATGCTTTCAATAACAACATGCAGGGGGTCTGCTTAGTAAACCAGCCCCAGTGGACGAGCTCTGTGTACAATGTACTTAATTTGGTTAACCAGTTTTTCTTGGTTCCCCCAGCGTGGGGGCTGGGTTTAGTCCAAAACACATAATGTCAGTGTCCACAGGGGGAGATCCAAAAACTCAAGATGGAAGTCGCTCCTATATAAACAAAGACCTTTTTTTT